GTACCGTGAAAAGCTACAAGTTTCGTACGAAACATTTTTCTCTATCGTCAATAGTCAGCGAGTATTTTGCAATAAACTGTTTTATCATTTATATCAGATGAATTTTCGTAGCAACGCGTTCGATTCGAAAGGTAGCACGGAATCGGGACAGGGAGAGAGGCGATGCGCGCGATGCGAGCGCGAGTTTTTTAATTTTACGAGGGACGTTTATCTTACGATTATGTTGATAACTTCTCGGTAAGAGCCCGTAACGTAAATTGAACCTCCGACAAGAATTTCGTGGGTGAGTCAGAGGCCGATTGGCCCTACGGGGAACGCCGAGGAGAAAGCTGACCATTGAAGAAAAAGAAAAACTTGCCGCGTAACTGTAAATGGCCAAAAATCGATGACATTAAAAGTAAACGTACCCAGATGTTGTCTCGTTCGTCCACGACAACGTCCCGATTCGTTCTTATCGTCGATCGATAGATTCGTTTCACGTTTGATTCATCCTCGTATTGACGTGAAAAGGGAGAAGAAACACGGGGCCATAGAATTGCCTTTCTCTCATCCTACACCGGTCGGGTCGTCCGCGAGATTCTCCGGTTCGCCAGCCGCGTGTATAACTTGATAAACAAGTTTACTTGGAGAAGCCGGTGTCTTATATATGTATATACCCGTTTACACACTGGGTGTCCTGAGCGGACTGAATACTAATTGCCGACTCGCGCGATGAGGATCAAAGCGTATAAATCATCACCTATTCCCAATGGAGCGTATCGATCACCCGGTATATTACTCGGATCGTGTTTAATCATCAAAGTTTATTAGTAAATTGCGGGTTTTATGCATTTAAAAAAGACTAGAAACTCTACTTGTGATGCATGAAAATATATAAAACGAACGTAGATAGCAAACGTTTATCTGAATTGACTATCAAATGTTTCATTTTGTTCAGAAATCCGCAGTATATTTATTAATTAGCAGAAGACTTGATTTCTCCAAAAAAATTGACATCATCTTCTTAAAAATGTTTGCTAATCTAGTGAAAGAAACGAAGAAGATATCTGACATACTTAAAATTGATTTCTACAGAATCTTCATTTTTTTCCGTGTCAGTTAGAAAGTATCATGGCACGCACGATATCATCGAGATCACGATTATCCAGACTTTTCATTCGTCACTTCTCAGCTCGGTTAATAATAAATAAGGCTTCTTGAACGGCTGAAAATTAAGAGGCAAGATAGGTAGTAGGCCTCGGTTTCCCTTGGAAACGCTATCTAGATAGCAAGCGGCATGGCAGCCGGAATCGAAGTCGGAGAGGCCGAGTAATTTCGCTAATGTCTCGGTCACGACTCGACTTCTGAATCCTTAAAACGGGTTTCCAATCTGATCCTCGGAATCCTGCCACGTCCCAGATTCTCGTCGCTAGGCCGAACGAAACGACCGCCTATTACATTAACAACATCTTATTCGGTGTCGCGATGAAAAATCAGATACCATCTCCTAACAGTTCCGACTCGCCTCACAAATATTTCCTCTCGTCCCTCGAATCTGTGATTCTAATTCGAATTCTAAGCCGATGGCCAGCTACATTCTTTAAGCTTTAACTTTATTTACATTCCACCGTGCAATATAATTGCTTTTACACATTTACAATAAAGTTAAATATTGTAATGTTTAAATGACAAGAAAAATATTTATCTAGAACACTCTTGAAACTGATACCATAAATGTTCTAATTTACACGAAAATCCACGGTCTAATAACTGTGGTTAATGTAAGGTGTTCAGGAGAATCTCGCATCATACCAATAAATAATTGCGTCTTGATTCGTATCATGAACTTTGAACCGGCGCAGTGAAAGTTCGTATCACTGGATCTGCGAACATCGGTGATACCTCAGCCATAAATCCGGCACTGGCTGATGACTTACCGCCTTTATCCGGCGACCATCCAACCCACGCTCCGACTTTAAAACAATATCTCACTCTTGGTGCACCTTGTTCCGCGTAAACGTACGCTTGTACGTACACGCACCGCCGGAATTTAAGGGTTTGTAAAGCAGACCTCGCTGACCGGCCTCTTAAAAATGTCTTACTCCCTGTTCCGGTGCGCGACCAACTTCGAATACACTTATTCAACGCCAGAAGCTTACGCTTTCTACGTTTTCCCCTTCTCTCTCGTCACCGGTTCAGAGAAATTTGTACATAATTTTGTACAAGCTCCTTGCGTCGATTTCCAAGGAAGAGGTGAACGCAAAGTCTGTCTTGCAACGATGGTAGATGAGTTGGTAGGTACGTGAACTTTTCTGTTGCAGTCGTAAAACGTTTGAGGAGGAATCGATAAATGTGTTCAGTCGTGGAAAAGGTCATTTGAAAGTGATCAACGATCCAGCGTGAAGGATTACAGGCACTTTCTGGCTCGTTACGTTCCCTAATTCGCGTCTGTATTTCCACGATACTAGTGAAGTGCTCCAAGAATGTTCCGAGTATTTTATTGACTCGGGATTACGCGTTCAAACAGTCGTATAGAGAGATTCGAATAAGTGGCAAGCGCCTGCGTGTTCATTTATCTTTAATCGCTTGGTTCATCTCGTACCGACATGACACGGAGATGTATGCACCGCTATCGCGCGACTCCTTTCTTGCGCTGCCCGATTTCTTGCCTTTCGCATTTTCCCGTGTTTATTGCTCCCGCCGCCGCGCTAGCTGTATGCCACCTACGTTGCTCGTCCAAGGAACTCATTTCATCCACCGTTTCGTACGTCACGTACGATTTCATTTCGTTCTGAACGGAAGAGATTAATGGAAGCTTTTTACTCGCGAGAGTCTAAGAGATTGATAGTTAAGAGGAGGTCTTAATCTATGATCCAAAGCTGCGAGTAACCCAGACTTATAATACCTGTACTGGTGGATGACTTAAGTTTTGTTTAATATTATCCATTAACTTTTATTATTGAGTCCTTTTATTGCGGTATTCAAGTCTACAAAAGCTAATAATTAATTGCTTCTGGTTCATTTAATAGTTCTCTTATATCCTTGCTTCATTTGCAAGTTTATTATACTTCACATAGAATTACAGGTCGTTGGACGTTATCGAGATTCGTTACATAAGTTACTCAGTCCAGTTACGTCTTTAACACCGAGTAGCAGTTTTATCTGTCGTATTTTATATACCAGCTTCCTCGCTCTTCTTTCTCGCCTATTACGGTAAACGTTCGTTCTAAATATCTACTTTTATTATCCGCCGTGGTTAGTAGACTCCCCCTCAACTTCGCACTCCGTTACACGGCTGATTTCTATATCAACCCGTGTAACTGGACTCGCTAAGAAAATAATATCCATCTTATGCTTCGTTGCAACCTGGCGAACCTTTGTATTCACCAGATCTTCAGCTAAGATTAGAAAGTTCTATGTAAAACATTCTACGTTGTGAAGTGTTTTGAAGTATAGAAGATTGCAAGAAGTTTCAACTACGTAGCGAAGGTAATTTCGAGCAATTATTCGTTTCAATAACCGAACAGAAAAGTGAAAATAAAGTGGACGCTCGTACTTAAATTGTTAACCATCTTTTCCAATAGATCTCGCGCAATGTCTATCATTACTCTTGATAAGATCCGAGCGCGAACAATTTCCAACAATATCCGGCAATAATGTAGAATATTATTTTTCACAAGGCACCAGTTAATGGTCTCGCGGTATCTACTTTCTCAACGTGGTGATTTCGAAGGGGTCTTCGGGTACGACTGCCGGTAATTTTCCGCGCGTTATACCCCTCTCGTTACACCCACGCGAGCGGATCAACGGGTTCATCTCGCGCGTCTTTAGTCCGCGACGTGACCATGCACATTATCGCTCCTATATTACGTCCGCATATTCTTTTCTCTATCAGCCTGTTCCCTTTTATTCCATTCCACCGCTAAGCGTCTAATTACTACTTCCTATTAAAACAGCCGAACTTTGATCAGGTTCTACAATTACCATAGGGTTCAAACATCTTGGAAATTAATAAATAATGAACTTAATATTACGAGGACTTCGAAAATTGGTTGCTTAAAAATCAATCGACGTACAATTAGCGTGAATAAATCGACGTGTATTCACGATGCAATAATAAAATGAAAGTGAGATAAGTTAGAATGCATTGTAAGAATTTTTCTCGACCCTCGACTTCGATACACGTCCCCGAGGATACGTATTGAAGCGTGATAGCGATTAGTAACGACGTTCTCCACAATATCACGGAATCGGGACGTTCATGGAATTATTCATGAATATAATTCAGCTCGTTATCGGATTTATGGTCTCAAATAACGAGGGAGGGGTACAGTCTGACCGGCCGGCTGAATGTGTGAAGAAACGCTTTCGTTGGCATCGGCGACGACTACATGACACCGAACAGGCAACGAAAAACAAGATCCGGAGAAAATGCGTGGGTTTTGTGTTATCAGCGTTCGTAATAATTTATGCACAAGCTAGTAGATTCCTGTTCTTAACGGGGAACCGCACTAAGTCATATATCATTGCGTGTACACGATCGAGAGACCGAATAATCAATTAATATAAAGGAGAATAAATGATTGCTCCATCAGGAGAAGGACAGGCATAAATCTTACTCGTCGTGTCCGAGATTATTGTTCCTAAAAATCGAACGTAGGCCTCGCGCAATAAAGCGGCAACGTTATTCAATCACTTCCTCTAACTTCGGACCCGAGAGGCAAGCTACGTACACGTTTATGCAAATTTGTATTTTTGCGACGGTTCAATGTGGGCTTGTTCCACTGTTTACATATTATATGTAATTTGTACTTTACGATGGACATTTTGTACATTCTTGCATGGACATGCGACGTCTACTTACAAACAGATAATAAAATTTATTTCCCTGGAGCTTTCTATTTTACGATCGTATAAAAGGCGTATAAAGAATGCGCATTTCGTGTCCGTGCAATTACCGATCAACTGACTAACATGCGTGAACACGAAGCTACCAAAACTTTCCCCTGACGTTAATTCACCTACCCTTTTCTCCTCCTAAGATTCGTATTCGGGGATGCAGAGGGGGAACAGAAAGATAAGTTTGAAGACCCACGTGGCCACGGTGTCCAAGAATGCGGTTACATTACACCGTTGCATCGAGCCATTAGATTGATGAAGATAAGGCAATGTGATACACGATTACGATTAGGTCAATAGGCGATCTATTACACATGAACTCTTCCCACAGAATTGTAAATAAATAATATGTGAATATAAAAAATCTTTGGGAAGTGACTTCTTGATCACGTTTTTAAGTAGATCAACTTAAAAACCCTAAGTATTTCCATCAGTTTAAGAAAAGACCTCAATTGAAAAGCAACTGTAAAAATCTTGAATGTTTCATTTGCGATAGACGAAGTATGACATACCTACATTATGCAAAAATGGAATTGCTTTTCGATAGAAGAAAATGATAGGTAAAATATATTTGTAGCCACTTACTTGCGAACCACCCGTTGCATCCAAGGACCTCGATGTTCATAGCGTACCAAATGTACGTGAAGACGTGTAATTTCGTGGACACACCTCGCCTTCTTCCGAAAGAAACTTAGTTTATACACCGTGCGCGTAAAATCGATCCAACACTTTTACCGTTCCGACACGAACGTCCCGCGATTACCACGCAAATTTTCGGCGCGACAACATTCACTGCGACGATTTCCAGACTCCGGTATACATGAAGCGGTCGTCAGCTGGTGAAACGAACTCGAGCGGTGGAATCAGTTAGGGTTCGTCGAGAACAGAGTGGTCACAGTGTAGCTCGTGCTCCGGCAACATCGGCCTCGCCACTATTCCCTGGTTGCACATGTTCCTCGCTATTAAGCAGTCCTCACACTGACCGCATCTCCGTGCACGTCAACAATCGACGAGCGTCGGAACCCAGTAAATGCATGCTCGAATCGAGTGCGGTAACCTTCGGCAAATAGTTGATAGAGAATGAGATACGAACAACGAAGTGCGAACTCTCAGGACAATTCTACTTTTCAACCTTCCAGGAGCCTTACTCCTCCCCAGCAAACACGAATAAACATTTAATTATTAGAGCCTCCAAAAATGTTTAGTGAAGCACAGTGTCAACAAAACAATTATTGTCGTCAAATGACAAAATGGTGATAGCCGTTGGAAGGTTAATGGAGATTATACCATGTTTGCATAGAGGCCCGAAATCTCTTTCAACGTAAGATATTCGTTTTCGTTTAAAAGCACTTAAATCATGTTCTACGCGTAATACGTGCCAGTTCCCTTAACTCGGGAATTCGAGATGATCAAAACGTACGCGACGAATTCGTGACACGCGGTAATCGTGACAGTTCGGTATGCGCGAATGAGAATTCTTGGCGTGCGACAAACGGCGTAATGACCGACAATGTTAACAGGCGAAGGGACGTGAGTCAACTGCCAAGGAAAACAAAACCAACCTCGGTCGCAGTGATGATAGGAAATCCGTCCTCCTCCAACTTGTTCGCACCGTGCCCGAGGCACACGCGCTCCTTCGCACGTTACGCGTAAAACTGGCATTCCAGATCGAACGCTCCCGTCGAATTTTGATTCGTAAAATTCACGGGGTGGGGAGACGGATGTCACCTCTTTCGTATTTCAAGACCGCAATAACGCAATGGAAATTTGCCAATGAATTTATATAAAACTAAGGATACTATGAAGTATTCTCAATTTACTATGAAATATTACTAAATGATGACAATAAAATTGTGAGGAGGAAGTGAATCATAGACGGTAATATGAGCACCTCCATGCAAAACATGCTTTATCGGGAGTAAAATAAAAAAGAGACGTTCTAACGTTACCTCTAACCGGGCAGTAAGTCCTCTCCGAGCAAATCGAACCCAAAGCCTCTTCGCTCGAACCGATTTCGGGGACAGAGTCTCATCAACTCGAAAACGCGAGTCGCCTACTGAAAAAATACGCGTAGTATCGTAGTACCATTGAATATACCAGAAGGATTCCGTTCCTTGGCACAAAAGGAACACCGTTCGAGGTATTCGTCCCGGATTCACGCGTCAGCCGGATCCGGCGGTCGTTATTCGACGTTTGACCGGCCTAAGGAGAGTACTTAGTTCGCGTAGTTGAGTGCGGGCGTAATAAGACTGTCTGCTGACGGCGGTAGCGCGGTTCGTGCCCGCAAGCGGCAGCAGCCAAGGGAAGCCCCTCTACCATGGCACTCTCCTGCAACTCCTCCAAGCAAGCCAGCCAGCCATCCGTGCCGACTTGCCTGCCTACCAGGTCCCGCAGTAGGCCCGGCGTCCCATCCTGAATCGAAATGGTTGCTTTGCTTTCCTTGCTTCGCACGAATCACGCGAGGGCCCTTCGAGCTACAACTCTCTTCGCTTCCGGTACCCGTGAGGGGTCCCCACGTGCTGGATTTTGCCCGAGGCTTTACCGTCGATAAAGAAGTTTAAACTGTGATGAGCCGCTAACGACGTCAGCGAGGATCCGAAGATTTAAAGCACATAATAAATGTTGGACTCATCAGCCGTTTAAATCTCGTCAAAGCATTGTCTGATCTCAGTTGTAACTGTCTTTGAATTCTCAAGTGAACGCATACTCTACATGGCATTCCAGCGTTCCATAGATTATTGAAAATACTTGTTTTATGATGATGACAATGTACTTGTATATGAGTACCTAGGTAAAGACAAAGTTGTGACGGGATTAAGATCCTCGTTTCATTTTACTCATCGAACGGCGGGCCGATCTTCTTCAAGTTCTTCAGGAGTGTCGGCCGCGTAATCAAAGCTTTCTCGATCGACTCGACTAGCACCTGTTCCTGATTGTACGGCGGAAACGGCATTCCCTCAAGATTATACACGTATACAACACCCTCCACGTCCGCGACTACTAGCTGGTTACCATTCGCCGTGAAATCGACCATGACAAACCTAGCACTGTTCGGCGAAATCGTTACTGATGCTGGTTTATGAATTTTTCGTCTGATATCCCATATACAAATCTCGTTGTTCACAATGCTCGCAATAATGGTCGAATGAACAGGTGACCACACCGCGTATCGGACGCAGGCCATCACCGTCGACAAAGTAATCAACGGTTCCGTTAATCCTTCTGCCCAAATTCGTATGCACCAATCGGCGCCGGACGTGAGGAATATTTTCGGGCAGAACGGCGAGAACATCATCGAGTACATCGGCCCGTCGTGTGCCAGGAAACTGTCTATATGCTGGTACAAATAATTGGTTGAACACTTGTATATGCAACCCTCGTTCGAGCCGACGAAATAGATAGAGCTCAGTGTTGGATGTTTGCAAAGCACCAGTGCTCCGGGACTACGGTTGATTGATATGTCGTAAAGATTGCATTGAACGGTCCTGGTGACGCCAGGTAGCGTACCCTCGATCCTGAACACCTTCATAATCGTCATCGCTGTAAAATCCTCGACGTAACGGTAGCATAATATGCAGCCGTCCTGGTCACACGTATAAATTTGCTCTTGATACTCGAACTGTTCGTCGCCCGCCCACCATTGAACCTGCCAGTGCGGGGAACTCGAGGGAGACTTTTTACTTCGGCGTACGACATTTATATCTATACGGCTCACGTCGATCACCTGGATCTCGCCGTTGTACAAGCCGATCGCGAGAAGATTGGGTTTGTCCCGACTCCAGTCGAGATCCGACACTGGACTATTGAAATTGTACACACGAGCCGGTACCGAGGGATTCTTCGCGCACCATAGCAAGACCAAGCCGTTCTTCGTTTCCGAATTCGTCTGCGCACCGTACGCGACGGCTAAAATGCTGTTATTAACGTAATTCCAACGGAACGTAGACACCGGCCTTCCGGAAGCCATTGAGCATTCGTGGAGCCAAAGGATGTCCAGACTGTACGTGAACTCTAAGTCGAAACTGCAAGGATCTTGTTTAATCAGACCAGTGAAGCGTTTCTGCGCTTTGATGCAAATGTTGTTCGATATTATGCGTTCCATTATTCGCATCGCGTTCCGGAAATTGTCGGTAGAGAACAGGCGTATCTGCTCCTCTTCCATCGTCTTTTCGTTCCTCTTTGTCTGTACCGGTAACCTGGACTTCAAGTTCTGCATAAGAAATCGCATAAAGATAGAACGTTCACATATATCACATATGATTTTTTTAAATTAAATTATTCGCACCTCTGCTTGTAGCATTTTGTCTATAGACTGTTTCCTGTGCGCTACAAGTATACCATTTCTCTCCAGCAGCAGTTCAAGATTTTCGTAAGTATCGTACATCACCCAATTATTCACGATCATGCCCTGATTTCTACGTCTCCGCCTGCTCAGGTACGTTCCACGAGATCTAGTGAGCACTTGTATCGTTTGAGTTTCGGCTTCCAATAATTTCCTATTCGAACCGGGCCCGATCGTTTTATATTCATAGCCCTCGTTCTCCTCTTTGATCGCTAGGCCTTCCAGTGTTCGCAAGTCACCGGTTCGCGGTTGCATCTCGAAAATAAAGTAAGTTTCTGTCTCTTTCAGAGTAATAGTCACCGATTCCGGTCGAGTAAAAAAAATATTCGGATCGACGCTAAAAATGTTAACATACAGACTTATTCTTGACGAAATCTAATAAATTGTTAACTCTTTGTGGACGTGTCATACGTACACGATCGATTTATCATAAATAAAAGTCATGTTTGTATATATTAATCATTATTTTTATTAATAACAAACACGTCCCCAAAAGGTTAATAGAATTAAGTAAGAAATTCAAAAACTTGATTTTCAAAATTACCTAGGTAGATAAAATTGAGATGGAGCTCTGTCTTCGTCATCGAGGTCAACGTCGGAGTCTTCCGCCTGCGTGGACAGTAGACTTTCGAACAATCCTTCGTCCGAAGCAGACGGAAGTGAAGACGTCCTAACAATCGTGGACGAGCTTCTTTTTATAGTACTTATACCAGAAATGACAGACAGTTGACCAACACTGCCAGTTTGAGACAGTCCGATCGTTTCAAACGCGGTTATTTGCTTCTCGTCGATCGAGCTGTATGTAGGATGGGTTAACAACTTCGGTGTTACATCAACATCGTCGTGTATAATGCGAACGTTCTGTCGTTGTTGGAAAATAATCGAGGTCACATTCTTGTCTCCGAGTTTTCTCTTTTTCCCCGCTACATTAATTTTAAACTTCGATGACTGCGGGGATTCTATTTCGTCCGACTTCATTCTAAGAAATTGTACCGCGTTACGTATACACTTTTCATCCTACGTATCGAGAGAAATAATGTATTTCATTGATACCTGTATATCTACGAATATATCGATGAAACAGTAAAGTATTTAGCAAGCCTGATCTATTTATCGTTCAATATTATCATTATGATAAGATTTCACTGATCCCACTGCACGTATTTTGCATTTTAACATCGCTTCAATGCTGATGGTTTCGCCTCGAAAGCAAACGTAAACAGCTCTTCAACTCCATGGTGATACAGAAATCAATTTACGGTAACCGCGGATTTAGTAATGCATCTTCAAACGTTCATGAATTCTTGATTTAAATTGTAGAACGTAATAGGAAATGTATTTTACTACAGTTTTTTTAGCAATTCATATTTACGTATGCATTATTAATGATACATTGACGCAATAAGTATGCATATTCGTGCATTGCACATTACGACTATTTAATAAACATGTATACATATACAGTTCTGTATCTGTAATTCTGAGTTGATTGTTGTATACATAAAGTACAAGGAAGCTGAGAATTTATTTTTAAATATATTAATTGTTATACAAAAATTCACCACTTTCGTTCATACAAATGCGGCCTATTCTATATGATAGTTTATAAATGTTTATTTATCTGTATTCCTGCAAACGAAATGATGTGAACCATTTTGTACATTTATTGTTTGAATCGTAGAGGTCGCAATACGACAGCGGTGGATTTTAACACGGTCGGTATGTCAGTACGTAAACTACGAAGTTTCATGAATAAGTAGAATACATAACATGTCTATTCCGTAGTAGATTGTGGCATATATACATGCAACATAAATACGGCGTTAATCAAGTGATAAATTGAAGTAGATGTGTTTAGATCAGTACGTGACAATTGTGGCAGGGACGGGGAAATAAAACGCGATTCGTTTGTACCGAACGATCGTCACCGATACCACTGTCGTACATAAGCGTGGACGCATCGTCGACGAATCTCTTACGTGTTATTTTGAACATCCGTTTTCGCGAAAAATCATGAAAATTATTTGATAGCACTTGCGCAATTGTGATCGCGGTATACGGTGTAGGTACGTGATACCATCGGATCGTTTTGGGAGCAGCATCGAATCTACGAGAGGATAATTTATCGCTGCGGGAAACCCACTACGTAATCGGAAGACTTGAAAGTAAGTGACGTGAATTATGTCAGCAATGGCAGATATCGTCCCATTCGTGTTTTGACGGAGACGTGGTCGTTGCCTATCGAATATCATTGCCTTGATGAACTTTAATCGTCATACGATACAAACAGTTAACAAATATATTATCGTCGAACTCATCGAGTATTATTTTGTGTACGTGACAGTTAATTGTTTCCGGTAAGGACTGCACGAACGCGAAGTGCACTCATGCTATCTGCACTTCACCAAGTTCTGCGTTTCTATTACGGACATATGACTTCCGATTTTGTTCATGGATACAGAATGCGTCAGACAATGCGAACGATTCCCAAAAACGCGATGTTAAAATGACTGAATCAAAATTGCATATCCGTATCGACCGTATATACGTTCAACGTTTAATATTTTAATAACATTTAACATCTAATACCGTCGCGTTTACTTTACTATGACTAACAAGACGTGTTATATTGACATCCTAAAATTGTTTTCTTTATCATACGATAATGTCGTCAGTGTCAAGTGATAAAAAACATACATCGTTAAAATTTCATTATCCTTGACGTTAACGTACGGTGATAGGAAATGAGAACGTGTTTTGTTACTTTCACCTCGCGAATCGCGTGAAATACGTAGGAATTCCAATATTTTTTTCAATTCGTCACCGTTCGCAATCGATATTTTGTAGATTCTGGTCACAATCGATTGAGAGTTCGCCAAGATGAGCACTACACGGGAACAGGCGGGACCATCCAAGTCTTGGGATTCCACTACAGAAGACAAAGAAAAGGATAATCGAACGTTTGAATGTAACATCTGCCTTGATACTGCGAAGAATTCGGTTATCAGCATGTGCGGTCACTTATTTTGGTAAGATCGCTTATAATAAATTATGTATCTATTATTTGTTGTTTGCATTTCAACATTTCCGCTTCATGAAAAATAACAAACAGAATGATTGTCTACATGCTAATGTTTCTTTCTTTTCTTAGTTGGCCTTGTTTACATCAATGGTTGGAGACACGTCCAACAAGGCAAATGTGTCCGGTGTGTAAAGCTGCTATCAGCAAAGATAAAGTTATTCCATTGTATGGACGTGGAGATACAAAACAAGAAGATCCAAGGTAAAACCGATTCTACTTCTATCATTGCATTACTCAAATTTAGAGATGTACTAGAGATTATTTAATTATGATTATTCAGGAATAATGTTCCTCCGCGTCCTGCTGGGCAGAGGACAGAGCCTGAAAACAATATTGGATTCTCTAGCTTTGGATTTGGCGATGGTTCTTACATGTCATTTGGTATTGGGACATTCCCATTTGCACTTCTTACATCAACTTTCAGTTTTGGAGAAACACGACCAGGTGGAGGTAAGTGTTATTTTAGGAATTAATTACAAACTAATCCCGTCTACGATCGATGTGTTGTGATAATGAAGATTTGTGCTTTCTTCTAGCTCTTAGAGGAACACCACAGTATGACGAAGAACAATTTCTTTCGAGAGTATTTCTGTGGGTAGCTTTTATATTTGTTTGTTGGCTCTTGATGGCGTAACATTTTGTTAATCCATATTATTTGCTTCATATCTTATAAACCTATACCACTTGCTGGATGAATTCATTACATTTTTATTAATACATCGATCTTTCCCCGTTTGTGTAATCGTTGTTACTCACTGCAGTAACTGCACCTGCTTGAATAAACAACTAGATTTTGTTATAGCTATAATAACACTTTTATATGTAAATACACTTTATTTTTATTATTTTCTGGGTATAAAACAAACATCTATCTTATTATAATTTTAAAGTTCATATAATTTTTGACACAAGAGATAAAACAAGTTTTCTTTATTACACTTTTTAACATTTATATTCAAGCAGGTCATTTCCCTGATTTCAGAATTTACAAAGCCTGTTCTTATGATATTTATGTATATAAATATATATTTCACTTTTAGAAACGTAAGCCATCTCCTTTAAACGAAATATACACAATAATTGATTTGAGAAGGAAACCTAACAAACGTAGTGTTATTGACCTACGCGGTCTTTGCTAATAATTATTGATATAAACAGTGTATATAATCTAGATGTTAAGTCAAACCGATACCAGATGCAAATGATGCAAGTTAACACACGGCTATACGATATACAGCATACAGTACTGTAATATATCGCTATTATAAATGAAAGTTTAAGAACATAAGTGTAGCTTATTTATTTTGTTGCTTTCATATTAAAAGTTATATAATTGACTGGCAGAATTTGCTCGCTATGTGGAATCACCTATGATGTCTATCGAGTATAATGTGACGCAACACTCAAGTTTTAAATATTGAACAGTTCTATAACTTTTACTATATTAGCATTGCGGTTATGGCAATACGAAGAAGGAGAAGGCAATTACTAATGAACCTGTAAATTATGATTATATGATTAAAAGTAAAATTCTTTCGCCTTTACGCTGGTTCAATGTTTTATCAGTCATTTCATGAAATGGAAATTGACATTCCGTACATATTGTTGACACGGGAGATTTATTCACTTTTACAGATAAAATATTTGTAACTGAACATACTCCGTTTCACTTATTAAAACGATATTAATCATAGAGTTCGCATGATTTGTAATTTGTTTAAAAATCATACATTGTAAATTGTCTTACAAGTTTATTTAATATGTTATTGGTAGAATAAAGTAAATATAATAGTAAACTCTGGACTGATAATATACCATACATCCCTATATCTATGTGAAAGAGGTGAACTTAAAATCATAAGAACACTGTTCAATTCTGGATTTAATAATTTATTAGAGATCATAAGTATACACGTTAGGTAACACAAATAATTCAATTGCAGTGCTTTATAATAATAAAAATTTAAAAACACATATATGACACGAACTTAAATCATTTTAATTTAAGTTATTCAATACATAATGAATAATTGTATTATAATTTGAAGTTTTTGAATTTGAACAAGCTTTGTCTTTTTTGTATCGATATTACTTACGCAAATCCTTGTCATAATAAAGAAACGATAACGTCAGGAAGAATATGAATAAACTGAATATGCACAGGGTACCTTACTACAGAAGTTTCAGTCGTATCAGGAAGTGTTGCAGGAGAAAGAAGTTATTTATTATAATAGGAATAAAGATCTCCATTTGATATCCTGATTAAAATGTAATTAGTTACTCTTTGTGTTGTAAATGTATTTAGTAACATTTTCTTACTTCTGTTAAAGAACTTAATGAAGCATGATAACAACTAAAACTTTCAAGTAAGGGAGCCCAAGCATTCCATAATGATCAATTTTGTCACATTATGGATCTAGTACTTTTATCACAGATTGCAGCTCCATAGGGAGATAATACAATGCTCCCTCATCTATCTAAAAATGAGGTACTCAAATACAGCAACTTGTGCGTCAAAAGAACTCTACTTGTTTATTATTTTTGTGCTTCAATTATACTACGTGAATTATTCTAGTAGAGTGTAATATATATACATGTATACATACATATACATGTATTTATGTACGTATTATGTGTAACACTCTCTTTTACAGATTACATGTACCAACCATCGTTTTGGAATATGTTTAAATACTGTACGTTACGAGTTATTACAAGACATTCAATTTGATTCAGAAGAATAAAAATTACTTCTATTTACAAATAAATGTAAACAGTAAAAACAACTAAAAAGTTCGTAACAAAAGGATAATTATCAGAATAATTTATTCTGTAATAAATAGTAAAGTGAAATTTACAGATTTATATATGCATGCTTATATTTCATCCTTTGCTATTTTTTTTGTAAAGCCTTTAGAAATTAGTAAATTATTGCACTCTTCCCGAGTCAAACTTGACAATGGCAATCTTTCAACTTCCTGAAAAGTGATAACATTCAACTGTTTTATACAATGTTCAACTATTAAATAGATAATTTACCTCCTCATTCTCATTGAATAGAACAAGTTCTGGAACTGCACCTTGAATATGTTTGAATGCAACATTGTTACTATAGCATCTTGTAAGGATTTATAATCTATTCACGAATGTCTCTAAGGAGATATCAAGTATTAACAAAAATTTAAGTAAAAATTATACAGCGTTTGGAGATTTAATTGTATGATAAGTAAATATAGGCTTGAAGAAGTCAAGCGTAATCTATAATCAAAAACCTTATGTAAGCATAATTTTCTGTCTTCAATAAAAAATGAGAAATGTATGGAACACTGGATGCACAATATTTATCGACCGTAATTATTTGTGCTTGTACTTTAAAAATGTGTATGATAATTTAATATTTCATAAATAAGGATACTAGTTTGGTACGTCTTCGAAGATGAACTGCCTAACATCCGGAAGACGATTTAGACGACAGCCACTGCAGCTCTGGAACAAGTCTCATTGTCAAACACTTAGGGTCATCATGATTTTACTTAAGATTATGACACACTTATGTAAAGAATCTCGTCCTAAAATTAATAAACCAAAGTTAATACCTCAATTATTGCGAACGCGTACTGATTGCTTGTTGATTCAACGTGTGAAGTCGCAAAAGCGACAGAGAGAAAAAAAATAAGAGTTGCCATAGGAGCCATGTTTACTTTACTACTTCAGGGACATACCCAGGCCCAGGGACCAGGCAGGAATCTGATGCTTTGATACGTATAATATACATATATATACTCTCAATACTGTGCGAAAATTTTGAAAGAACTAACTATATAATCATATTCCTTAATAATTATGCTATTACTAATGTGAAAACAAAAATTAATAAAGGGCATTCGGGAAACTGAATGTATTACATTTTATATTGTCCATATAATAAAATAGAATAAAACTCATGCAGTTTAGATATGCAGAAGTACCGAGCATGGAGCAAGGCGCATGGCTGTTGAATTCCATGCGCAGCAATGCGCAGTAAACACCTCTTACATGTGTAAAAATGGCGCTTTCGTGTGCGAGTAAGCTTTTCTTCTTTATACGTATATATTTTAATTAGAAATACGAAAATTTGCATTGCACTTGTACACATAACATGGTACAATTATAATACGGATAAATTGACTCTGCTTGTAACGAATATGGTTATTCGTACCGGCAAGATTTGACCATAACCTTTCGATACCATTGTTTCACAACTGAATGTTCATTTTTAGTTTCTAACGAAGTCCCGGAGCATCCGGTCATATCTCCAGTGTCTGGATCTATATTTGAGAAACGATTAATTGAAAAATATGTAACAGAGAATGGAGTAGACCCTATAACTGGAAAGGAATTAACAATAGATCAGCTCATTGATATTAAAAGTATATTATTTTCTTTCAAAAATTGTTGTTGAGTATTATAAGTACATGTTAACATAGATTATTCTTATCTTCCATAGCTACATCAATAGTAAAACCTAAACCACCAAGTGCTACGTCAATTCCAGCTATATTAAAAATTTTACAAGATGAATGGGATGCTGTTATGTTGCATTCATTTACACTTAGACAGCAACTTCAAACAGCCAGACAAGAATTGTCTCATGCCTTATATCAGCATGATGCAGCGTGTCGTGTGATTGCTAGATTGACAAAGGAAGTAACAGCAGCAAGGGAGGCTTTGGCTACATTGAAACCTCAAGCTGGAATAGTACAAGCTACCACCATTCCACAACCTGTAGGAGCATATTAATTCTGCTGTTCTGTTATATCAGGAACACTTTGGTATATTGTGCATTGTTACAGGCTCTTGCAGTGGAGGCCGGTGGCACAGCTGCTCAACCCATGGAACAAGCTGGTATTACTGAAGATGTAATTCAAAAGCTTCAAGAAAGAGCCACAGTTCTCACTCAAGAGAGAAAACGTCGTGGACGTTCAGTACCAGAAGACTTGCTTCCCCAAGATAGTATTCGCGCATTTCAAACACTTTCATCACACCCTGTAAGTTGCTATGCTGTGTTTGTATGCAAAGTTTACGTTAAGTTGTAATCATGGATCATTTATCTCTAAGGGTCTCCATTCAGCTAGTGTGCCTGGTATTCTTGCACTTGATATCCACAGTGCAGATACCAGTAAAATTTTAACTGGTGGTGCTGATAAAAATGCTACAGTATTTAATAAAGATACGGAACAAGTTGTTGCAATATTGAAGGGGCATACCAAGAAGGTATGAGTGAATCATATCTTTGACCATTCCAAGAGATCATTTTAATTGCTTCATTATGTGTGTTGTACTACATAGGTTACTAGAGTAATTTACCATCCGGAAGAAGATATAGTAATGACGGCATCGCCTGATACTACTATACGTGTATGGAATGTGGGAACAAGTCAGACAACTTTATTATTGAAAGCCCATGATGCCCCTGTGACTGGATTGTCTTTACATCCCACTGGCGATTATTTACTAAGTTCATCCCTGGATCAACATTGGGCTTTCTCGGATATACGTACTGGTAGATTATTAACGAAGGTATATTTGAAAGAATGATCAACTAGACTTTGTTGTACTTAAACTTTTGCCTCATACATTATTCGTTTTGATATAGGTTGCCGGACAAGTTAATCAACCTTTAACCACAGCTCAGTTTCATCCTGATGGATTGATCTTCGGCACTGGCACTCAAGATTCTCAAGTGAAGATTTGGGATTTGAAGGAACAATCGAATGTAGCCAATTTCCCTGGTCATTCCGGACCGATTACGGCTATCAGTTTCTCCGAAAATGGTTACTACTTAGCTACCGCTGCAGAAGATTCGTGCGTGAAACTTTGGGATTTGCGAAAACTGAAGAACTTTAAAACTCTTCAGCTAGAAGAGTCGTACGAAGTTAAGGACATCTGCTTCGACCAGAGCGGAACGTATTTGGCTGTAGCCGGTACAGACGTGAGGTAAAAATGATTCTACTGCATTTCAATTCCAATTTGACAACATTTGAAATCTATTGATATCTTTTTCCTTAATTTTCAGAGTATACTTGTGTAAACAGTGGCAAGAGTTGAAAGTGCTTAATGATCACACAGCAGCCGCGACCGGTGTTCGTTTCGGAAAACATGCACAGTACATAGCATCGACCAGTATGGATAGAACATTAAAACTTTATGGATTACCTTGAACATTTAGTAACAAAACTATATTAAATTAAGGATAAGGATAATTTAAATTAGAGCTTATGATGTAAGTTAGTTATAGCAAGGACAATGACAAATGTTTTTATCCGCAGAATCATTCAATTTTGTTCTTAAATTGCAAATGGTTCGAAAGATAATCTTTGTAACACAATGAAAATCTATTTAGCAAGTTAATTTGAGTGTGACTGTTGTAGATATTTTTTAAAATGGTCGTATCAACACACTCATCATGACTTGATAATGAAGAACATTGCCGATTGGAATATCAATTATTATTTTTTAGATACTATCATTTTGGTTCAGGT